GGAGTGTGGGTGTGGGTATGAGTCTCAGTCTTCTCTGAATGAACACCCACACCCACACCCACACCCACACTCACACCCACACCCATACCCACCCACACCCACACCCAAATGGATGAACCTATTTCTTATATTAGTTCTAGAGGATTAAGTAAAGAGTTGTGAACGAGTGTATCCATAAATAGATTAAAAGAAAGGTTTTTGAGGCGATCAACAACGAACAGCTACATCGTGCGTCGCATTTTAATCCCGGAAGGATTTCGCTAACAGTTTTTTTCCTTTCGATCTTTCTACAGCACAGTATTTCTTGTTTTTATCAGTGAATCTTGAATAGGCTGAACATTGTAAATACTGGTAGTTAGTCTTTTTTACCTCGAACATTTAATTGATTTATCTAATATATGATCTATGACGTGTAATGTATCGGACAAAAGAATGTTGACCCAAATGTAATTACGTATTACTAGAAAAAAAATGATTGATTGTGCTGTGAAAATTAATAGCAAAATTAGATTCTAATATACAAAAAAAATGAAAAATAATTATAATACGCTAAATAATCTATAGACTGATTGACATATTGTTAAAATGCTTAAGAACGGAAATTTTGGTTTACAATTAGAAAGTGAATTTTTACTTAATTTATTGTGTTCAAGTCAAAAAGATTAAAAAAAACATGTTTTGCACGTAAAATATTTGTTTGATTTCATTTGTAAATATCTTTCGCATTAAAGGAAGTACATTTTCGGTAATTATCTTTTACAGGTCAATGTAATTTAGTGTTAACATGAAGAATAGATTATGATGATATTAATTTAAGCTTCTTCTCCGTGACATGACTACCGAGATTTGTTTGCTCAGCATCAGGGCAGAAAGACCACGTTACTGAAGCCAGCGACGTACTTAGAAAGGGATTGATATCGCTTGCGCCGTCTTGAAAAGCTTTTACTAACAATTCGCAGAATTATTGTTCTTTGAACTTCAAAAACAGTTTCTCAACAGTTTTGAGTTTGAAATAACATTTATCTGAATTGATTAATGTAAGTTGTTTGTTCTTAGCAGCTTTAGTTTTTTTAAATAAATCTCAACTAAATCAGGGTGTGAGTATAGATCTGAGCGATGGTATGCGTGTGCGGTGTAGCTGCATCCACTCTACGAACTAAACCATCCCTCACCGTCATACCCTTAAGAATAGAATATCCACATCGATACGCCTTCACCCTCAACTTTCTCTGAAAATATTGATGCGTTCTAATCATGTATATGGTTTTTCTTTCAACAAAATTCTTCATTATTCATGTTTAAAATGTTGAATAGGAAAAAATGAATGAAATTATAATATTTTAGTTACAGATAATGTTCAATGATTAAAAAATTTTATTCACATCAATTAAATAATCTGTTCGATAGACGGCACTGAATTTTCGTCGATTGAAATTTTAAACCTTAAAGGATCGTTCAATGCTCGTGAATGAGAAGAAGGTAATGATGCTCCATTAGCAAACAAAACTTCACGTGATTGTTTCCAAACTCCATAATCTTCATGAATATGACCAAAAATAGAAAGCAATGGTCTTACTTGATGTAATCTAATTTGTAAATTAAGTTCTAAATCAACATGTGATCCATATTGAGAACAAGGTGGATTATGTGTAATTACAATATGTGAATTTGAAGGAATATCAGACCATTTTGATGTGCCTGTAGGACGCCATGGTGCACCATATATGCGAAGATAATCATCAATAAGAAGTTGTTCGTCTTTCAAAAGTCGTCCATGTTTTAAACATGGACTTAACATTGAATCATGATTTCCAGTAATAATTAATTTATGTCTAAATGGCAGTTCACTTAACCATTCATCAAAATCATCGAATGGTTTTGAACCTCGACCAAAATTCGTTATATCTCCACCATGTATAAGAATATCACCACTATGAGTTGACTTTAATCTATCTGTTAGTTGACGATGTCGTTGATGCGTATCACTTATACAAACAACTATCCAACATTTATTACTTAATAACGACATTTAAAAAAAATTTCCTTCATACAAATAGTATTTGACACACAAGCAATGTTTTTTTCTTTTTGATGAATCATTATTTATGAGTCAATATGATTCATAAATTTAGTTAGTTCATTTATTGTATTTTTCTTTTCTCACATAAAATTCATGTTACTTTCACATTAAATATCATTGTTATGGTAATGTTTGATATAA